TCTCTTTCAATTGCCTTTAAAAGGAATCTGTGCAGCTGGCTCAGCTGTGTAAAACTGAGTAAGCATGAGGGTAGTTACAGTGTAGGCATCTGCATTCAGTCACATGAACCTCCATCCTGCGGTTAAAAGGAACAGCAAAACTCACAAAAGCAGAAGGAGAAAGAAGAAAAAAGAGATGATATTCTAGAGAAAAAAATGACAAAATTTGATGGGAATGAGGATGGAAAAACGATGCTAGTTAGCCTTTTACGCTCTCTGTCTTACCCTACTCCAGCTCATTTACAAAATGACAGATTATTTTACTCTTCTGAGTGTCAACTGTAGTTCACAGCTTCTTTTCTGTGTTGGTGACATTTTTCTCTCGTGAGCACTTTTTGGAGTGCTGACATAATTTTTGATCTTTAAAATAATAAGGCTGGATGTGTTTACAAGTCAACTGTATCTCTTCACGTGTGGCCCCTTGTCCTTGCCTAGCTTCTGCATAGTTCTGTGTACTGATTTGCTGATTGTCACAGTATCTGCTTCTCCAAAATGACTTCATTCATTCGTTATTTTTAGTATTTTTATTTACTGCCTGTTTGGTACAGTACATCTGCCTGCCTCCATCTACAAAGCACACTGCCATATCTTCAGGACACTGTCTTGAGTACCTGGCTATGTTTTTTTCATGAGAAAATATAATAAACTGAGGTATGATTTGTTATTTGCCTCTCTGTATATGAGAAGATGGTATCCCACCAGTTTTGTGTCTTAATTCTTCAGAAATTCTTGGGAACTACCTACTAGTGTAGAACTCCTGTAACAGTGGGGAGTCCATCTGCGTATGGCCTTTTTTAGCAGTGCAGTTGAATTAATCTCACCTAACTTTAGATGACTGCAGTGCAGATGGGTGCATATAAGCTGGTCATCCAAGGGTCATTTTGGAGTCAAATGTAAGTGATAGGTGCATTTAGTGTACAACTCATCTGTTTTGAGATGAAGTGCACGCAGGATTGACTGATTCTGTCCATTGACAGCATCTAAAAGTCTAAACAACTAAAGTACCTGTAGACAGAGATGCCACAGATGCCTGTATTTGGTATCCCATGCTGTGTGGCTGTGTAACAATACTTTGTAGTAAGCAGTTGTGATATTTTTGTGGTTTCAAACTTAAAACATGGTTGTTGTTGTTTTTTTTTTTTTCCCACTGATGAAAATTCCAGTTAGTATTTTCTTTTGTATAAGTAGTGATTACAAGATGTAAATTGCAAGTGAAATAATTAGTTTAAGAATTCAGATATTGTAAAATCAGATCACCTAATTAGAGAATTGAATTAACTTACAGTATTTGTGAACCTGTAGTGATGTCACAGAATCACAAAATGTAGGAGTGAGTCTTTAAAAATTAAATTCATTTAATCTGAGATCAAAGTTACAATCTAATTATTATTTTTTATGCGTGGGAATTAGACTGAATGCCTTAACTTAAAGTGCCTCTGCATTTTCTGGATATCAAAGACAAATTCAGCTCACATATAAAGGAACGTTGATCCTCATTTTAATAATGGATGGTCTTTACTGTAGTGTAGGTGTGAGTTTGTTCAGAGAAAGAAATCTATATAATGTTCACTCCATGAATGTACAGCAGGTTAGCCACTGTTGGCTAATTGTCCAGCTTTCCCAGGAGTGCTTTGCAGAGGGAAGGAGTGCACATGCAGTTAATTTCCATGGGACAGCTGATTTTCTGCCTTCCTTCCCTATAGCATCTGTCTCACTGCTGAAGCTGAGGAAGCTCCAGCTGTTCACAGTCTGTAGGATGAACATGCTAGGTGATCCTCACTGTATGACTTCACTGTCGTGTTGCTCAGTTTCCATTTATGTAATGGCAAGGATACTGATATCAGTGTCTCACGAAGCACTTTGAAATCTGCTAATGAAGGGTAGGTATTTCACCAGAACCAGGTAGTGCCATTACTCATTGGCACTGAGTGAACTATTATTAAAGCACGGTACATAGCTTTTCCCTAGCTTGAGTAAGCTTTTGTATTGTCAGGAACATAGATACATTGAGTGAATAGGAAATAATTACTTTCCACTAGACCTGTTAAAACCAATGCACTTTACCTCTTGACAGAGTACTGAGTCATCTACTGCCTTGAGGAAAGCACTTAAATCATCTGTAAGTGGTCATGGTGCCCTGTGAGGGAGCCAGATTCACTTCTCAAGACTCCCTACATCATTCCTCAGTTGGACAAGTGCTGGCAGAGCAGAAGTAGCCCTGAGAGTGAAGTGGGAAGCAGATCAGTTGCGTGTCAGGGCATTCAAGGAATAATGCTGACAGGTTCCAAAGATCATCCTCTGCAGTAGGGCAGGTTTGTTGTGATTTAGGATTTATACATATGTAGGTTTAGGCCTGCGTCATAGAAGCTTTCAGAAGTATGAAAGCAGAAGTTCTCTGGATTCCGTATAGTTGACTGCTTGCTAGGTGAATATACAGTGAAAATGCCAGCATTTGGGCCATTCAGATAATCCAAAAGATATGTATTCAATTGCTCCTATAACTGAAGATACTGTGCATACCTTCTTTCCCTCCTTAATATCATTAGGGTCATCCTCCATGCCTATCTTTTAAGAAGTCCTCCTTCTTTATTTCACTTACTCTGATCTTTTAATCCTCTCTGTAAATTTATTTCTCCTTGTATCCAGTCAGTATCAGTGTTTCTTGTCTTTTCCTTTCCCTCTCAGAGCTGGGGATGTATCAATTGCATCTTCTTTGGAATGTATTTCTATTCTCTCTTCTGCCTCCTTTCAAGGTAAAAAAAAGTAATAACGTAGTGAAATACGTGGTTTTCTCCCATTCCTTCCCCCATCTCTTTTCACTTCACACCAAGGGGCTGCATTTGCTCTTCTGTTTCTTGCCCCTTCTCTGGTTGTCTGGTTTTCTCTTTTTCTTCTTTTCTTTAGAATCCCTTTCCTTTCTCTCTCTCTTGTTTCCTATACTATTTTTTCAGCAAATAAGTCATCCAGATAGGCAAGCTGTGTGGGGAAGATAGCAGAACTGGGACAAACACATTGTTGTTCTGGATGTTATAAATGGACTTCTGGGTTTCCTGAAGGTAATTAGAAAGAAATTCTAAAGTATCTGTGAAAATGAATAGATCTGGAGAGAGTATTCCTGCCTTTGTATCTTAGAGCTCCTATTCAATCTTTATTTGCTTTTTTTATTTTATCTGCTGTGTAAAGGCCAAAGTTCCATCCACGATGTGACTAAATGAGAGCTATGAGAGCAATTTTATATTTATTTCATGTCTTTCTGATGGTTCTTGGTCCCTGGATAGAAAAGACTGTATGGGAAAGATCATAGGTATTTGTTTGCTTACTTCTCACAGAAATTGGTAGAGCTAAGGTACCTATATGAATATGCATCCATTATTAATATGTGAAATTTAGATACTGATAAATGAACAGAGGGAATACTGACAAATGAGTGGCAAAAAGAATATGTTTGTTGTCAAGGGTTTGGACAGATATATTTTATGTATGGCTTTTTTTTTGGTTCTGCTTCAAATAGTTTTGGTTGCACTGCCTAAGTTACCAAATAAATTGGATTTATCTGCTTATTAGATTCTTTTCTGTCTGCTGTTTATCTGCTTACATAGATTTATCTGCAATTTATCTGCTTAAGCATCTCAGAGAACTTTACTCACTCAGTTCCTCTGGTAAAATGAGGGTAATAACACTTCCTGACCTATAGTCTTGACTGCTCAGGTAATAATCTGTGTGGACAGGAAGAATTTTCCATGCTGCTGTGTGTTCCTGATATGATTGGGCTCTCAGTAAGATAAGGTACTACCATAAAAACATAGCACAGTGTTAATAATGCAAGCATCTTTTTTCTTTTTTTCTTTTTTGCTTTATGCAGTGTTCATTTCTTGTAAGCAATCACAAGCATTTCCTTAATTCATTCTTTTTTTTTCTCTTCATTTACTTTATGAACTATATTTTTTGCTGTTTATGTCCTTTTGGCTTTAGTACCTGATAATTTTTGAATCTGTGTAATGTAACTTTTTTTTCTCCCCTAATTAGCATTAGTCTAATTCCTGAACCTACATCTGTAGCAGAGGTTGTTGAATTCCAACATCTTGTTTTCTTGCAGCCTTTGATTCACTGTTTTTAAATCAGAAATGTCCTCCCTCTCATACAGAGATCATTACTAAGTGTAACACTTGATCAATGGGACTGGGAGGCTGATTTTCCTGATTTGACTGCAGAGTAAGACATTATGACTAGATAATCTGTTCTGCAAATGTATTTTTGCTTGAAATAGAGCACTTGTACAAGTGGAAAATATACAGAAGTTATGGTCATACTGAGAGGGAGTAAGAAAGCCCATGGGGTGCTAGTGTGTCTGTGGTTCTTGATGTAAGTACTGACAATTGGAATCATTTGTAAAACAAAAGAAATTTTTTAGATCTCAATCCTTTGCCTGAAGGGACAAGAGGATAGAACTGATGTATGTACAGTAAGTATATTATACAAATACTTAGATCTTTGGAAGACTGTGGGAGTTAAACTGACTGTTAATGAAGTCAAGTATGGATATCAACATCTTAAAAATGAAAATGAAATGATCCACTTCTAGATCACCACATCTTGAAGGCTTTTTTGAAGGAAAATGTTATCACTAAATCCTGATTTACAATAATGTAATTAATAGAAGAATATTATGAATAATTATTGCTGTATATTTTATCATGGACATCATATTTTGCCTCACTGAAAATTGCACAATAGTGCTGAGTGCACATGAGGCTGGGAACAACTTGATCATTTTTCCCAGTAAATCTTTGTCTTATCTTTTATCTCATTTTTTAATTTCAGTGCAATTAAAATTATTTAATAATTTTTAACAATTTTCCAAGATTATACTGTTGGATACAGCTGCATACTTCAAATTGTTACTAGTTTTGCACATCAATATTTAACAATAACAACTTACTTTTCTGAATTATTTCCCGCAGGGTGCAGCTTTAATTCGAATGCTGGCTAATTTTATGGGTCACTCTGTGTTTCAAATGGGCTTGCAAGTAAGTAAGATATTTCTGTCTTTGTCCAAGTGCGTATTTCTAGCAGCTTGTCTCACTTGTACGTTTTTTCTTTTTAAACTATCATATATTTGTGAAAATGTTTCTTTAATTCAGGACTGTAGGAGGCACCAACATATCCTTGAAGCTAACTTTGATAGAAAACACCGGGCAGTGTAGCACACAGGGTGGTGCCCCTGTAAATGAAAGCTTCACCTCTATCTCTTGGTGTACGTAGATATTGGGCTTTAGCTGACACACTGTTTTGTGTCTGGTTTGTGTACATTGCCAGGTAGTGGCTGTTTTAGCTGTATGACAGCTGTGTGCAGGGCTAGCTGAGGAAGGAGCTACTTCTGTTCAATTACATTTGCATGCTGATATGAAAGTCAAGGCAGCTAGAAAATACATAGCCCTAGAAACTAGTAACTGCTTTTCAGATAAATACTTTTGCCTTTCCCTGCCCTCCACATAAAATTCCTCAAGCTTTATTTTTGCCTTTGATAAACATGGAGAGCTCTCTACCTTAACAATGTTTTCAAAATTCACTTTACCTTTTAAAAGAAATCTGAGGAGGTAACAATTCTGTATGAAGAAATTCAACGTGCTGATTATTAAGGACGAACTCTTTTCAGCAGTAATTCAGTGCAAATGACTGTTTCATAAACTATTTAAAAACAAACAGGCCAAAGCATAAAAAACAATGCAACTCCCTCTATTCCATGGAATTCTGCTTGAGTAAATCATGTTACAGGCAGCTGTGATTGATGAATTATGTATGATGCAGCCTGCTACTTAGAAGTGTCCTTTAAAGTAAATTGATGTTCACCTGAAATACAATTATGCTAAGATGGAAAGAGCAATCAATCTTATCTGTTCTTAGTAAGCTTTTCATTTTGAAATTTAAATAAACTATGTCTGGGATCAGGTCATTTTTTAACACAGTAATTCTACTTCTAACCACAATGAATTGAAAGACAAAAATATAAAACAAAGTTCCATAAATGCTTTAGTTATATTGCAGAGAAGTGTATTCCATGCAGTAGGCAATGTAAGGAAAGAGGGAAAATGTGACTTTTTTGGAGGGTTTAAGGACATTTGTGTTTTGCGTGGGACCCATTTAAATCTTTTCCATTGCTATAACATTTGGTCTGATCACTTAGTTAATTTCATCCTGATTTCTTTTTTGTAAGATCTTGTATATGTAGATATTGAAATCCTCATCTCATTTAAGCCAAGAAGATTTCTGTCATTAGTCCAGCAGTCTATATTTCAACTACATTTCATAAGGAAATTCAGTTTTGCTAAAAGAGCATTTAACTGAGAATTGGAGAAAGGGAACATTTTTATACATATATATCAAACCTCCTTTTTCTGTTTGCCTTGAACAGAGTTAAAATTGTCATAGAATAAGTTAAAGAAAAATACTTTAAATCAAACAAAATAATTATAATTTAAAAAATCAAAGTTGCAGTAGTGGTGTTTCTAATATTTTCCTTTTATTTTTCCTTTTCACTGTTTCTGCTCTAATAGAAGCTCTTCCTTTATCAAAGCCAGTGAAAAATCTGTGAAAATCTAACTTGTGGAAGTCTTAGCATCAGTTCAGTAGGATGATATTCTGCTTCTGCTTATAAAAAACTATTTGAAATCCAGATGGAGATTTTTTGTATGTCTGACTCCAGGTTGAACAAAATAAAGCACGGTGTTCATGAGCTTGTTCATAAGCTACAAGTTATGTAATTGGAAGTGGCTGTCATTCATTTAATTCTTTTGATTCTTTGTGAATGTAACAAAATAACATTGACGATGTTCTGTAGAGCTGGGATGCTAGCTTTGCTAATGATGTGGGAAATGGTATAACTGATTCACCCTCTCTTATCATTTTAGCTCTTTAGCCCCAGTACTGTTACTTGGGATTTAGCATGAAGTTCCCTTGCATCCAGTTTTATTACAGAATTCCAGTGTTAGCAGCTAAGTGGCTTTTTTCACATATTGCTGCAAAAGTAAAGCATCATTACTATTATTTAGATATCTCTTCAAGTAACAAATACAAAAGTACAAAAGTGTACTTGGTGGTTCATTCCTGCTCATTCTAATGGCTTTCTGAGAAACTGAGTTCTGAAAGACCTTGGCTTTATCTTACTGACCTTATTTGTTATTAGCCTCCAGTATGTAAAATGCATCAGTGTTAATGTGATCATTATTTCAGTTCTTTTTATGAGTTATGTCCTTAGTGTTTCACAGATGACAAAAAAGAGTATTTGTGTAGTTTTGTTGCACCACCATAGATCAAAATGAGTAACCTTTTATATGCATTTGCGTGGAATGCTTGTGATTTCATTGAAGTCAAGGTATGATTCATCATCTTATTAAGAGTTGCAAAATTAGAGCTTTTATACAATGCTAACAAGCCTTTGGCTTAAAAGAGAGGAAAGGATAAAGTTTAAAGCAAGAAGCTAGTGGCATGTCTACCTTTTTTGTCTCTTGCCACTTACATTTTCTGAATCTAATTACATGCTATCACCTGGCAGGTGGATATTATGAAGAAGTCAAGATAGCCTGTCAAAGAAAACAATCAGTTGTGTTAAAAATGAAACTAAAAAGTTGGTGAAGGGAAACATGGCTCAATGCTGGATATTATTTGATAATTAATGTGAACTGAAGAATGTGTACAAAGGTGCCCATGATGCCCAGAATTCAGCAAACCATTTTATTGATGAGTCTGTGAAGATATAAAATATGAACCGTGGCAGCTTTATAGAATATATGGTTTGAAGAGATTCATATCTACTGAGGGTAACTGGCCCATTTCTATCACAGTAAATACAAGGTGAATATATAGTGTAGAACTTCCATTGTAAAAGTGCGGCCAAGAGAATTCCTAATGAAGATACGATTTTCTGGAAGCCCTGCAGAAAAGATGTCTCGAATCATGTGACAGTATCAAGCACAAGATTTAGTAACAAAGACAGATCTTTTTTCACTGTTTTCAGATGGCGTGTCACAGACAAATCCAAGAGGGAATCTATTTGTTTAATGACTGAATAACAACAGTAACTGTTACCACAGCTGATAACTGTTGGATACAAAAAAGTCACGGCTATCCTTCCTGTAGAAAAAAGTGTAGTGACACCTTCCTTCTCATACTGGGTGATACATTTCTTGTTGATAGTCCTGACTTCTTTCTTGATGCGCCAAATTTAATTTGCACCAGGAAAGCTGAAAGGGTGAGCGTCACTAAATACCCGTACTCTTCCTACAAAGTGTTGCTTTTCAGTCAAAATGCCATTAATCTGGTAGAACGTCAGTTGGGAGTATGGAGAGGCTTGGCCAGCAGAAGGCACCAAAATTGGCCTTATCATTCAGTAATATGCAATACAATTTTAGATTTGTATGAGATTTTCATCTGTGGGTTGTTGTTCCTAATCTGTGTGCTTGGAATGAATTATTGCTACTTAACTTGTGTTATTGTATTACTTTTCTAGGAAAGTTTTATAGCTTTACTACAAGACATCTCTTAAAGTTATCAGTGTTTTTATTTTTTTCTCATATCAGAGAAAAAAGCCTAGAGATTTGAAGGTCTGGTACTTAGATGTGTGTAAAGAAACACCCTCAACTCTGTAGAGACCATTCTGCAGTGGTTAATTTACATTTTTCTTATATTAGGTTGATTATTTTGGAGATTCATCTCTATTACTCTGTATCTGTCAACACTGCATTTCATTTGCCACGTGGCAGCTCATTGATCACACAGATCTGTATCCTTTTGAACTTCACTTGCTGCTATGTATGTGTTCATCACTCACTCTGATTTAGTGCATCATCAGCAGTTTGAATTAGTTACCAAAGGAATCCCTGCTTCCCTGTGATAAATTAACTGCTTTTGTACTTTAGGCTTCACATTGTGAAGAAAAATTTCCATACAGTTCTTTGGATAGACACTGTCTTTTTTTGGTGCTGTGGTCACCATATTGAAACAAATT